CGATCATCTGTTCCTATCTAGTACCAATTTCCGACACAGCTCTCAACGGGCAGCAACGCGGCTCTCCAATTTAACCGGTAAATTAGTTCAAATCGATCACAGCAGGTAACTACTGTTTGTGTGAAGATGAAACACTTTCCCACGTGTGGTTGTGTGTGAAGGCGGAAAACTATCAGAAAGATAAATCAACGCAGAGCATCAAGCATATACACGCCTGAGTTCAGACTGTGTACCAAACAAACCACCGTCCAATGATCTTGTATTGTGTTGTATTGAAGCTTTAACGAGTTATATACAGGCTTTCATCCAAAATAGGCGAAGGTTACAATTCTGGTAAAAATGGGTTGAAAAAGTGGGATGTAAAACGTACAAAAGTGAGTTAACTACAAAGTGCATTAGAAAACTGAAAACAAACGCTTTCCTTGTTGGTCAGTATCCGGGCAAGATAGGGTACCAAAGAGCTTCTGTACGCAGATATGCGAGATGGGTTAAGTGTGTACTTAGAACGGGTGGGATTTGGATGCACACGAGTCAATGTGCAAAGGATGGGTGCAATCAGATATTGTTAGCAAACTTCAGACACGTATAAATATGAGCATTACCCAAATTGCCAATCAGAACAAATAACGGAACTTGGGAGACACGGCTGATCATTAAGAGGCCACGTCTCTGAAACTGGAAATCAGCTTTCAACAATTCAGGGAAAGTTACAGGGGAGCGCTAAAGGGGTATACGGAGAACATATTGTTGAACAAGTGTCTCAGTGAAATCAGAACAGAAGTGGCGCAGTTTTCTTATCTGGAAAGAGAGAACTTTCAACATGCGAGCAACAATTTGGGTATGTAAGGATCAGCGATCTTTGTAAAAAAATTCCATGATTTTCATGTGGGCGGAATACTGCCAGGTTACCCAGGCCAAGGTAGGTGGATCTTCTAGGCGACTTCACAACCGGAACAGTCGCCCAAGGTGCCTAATGCACCCCGATACCCAATCAAACCAGTGACCACTGCCACAACCAGGTGTGATTCGTACGCCTCTTCTCCGTTGGTTTCGAAACAAGGGTTTTGGCCGACTCTTCTGAGTATCTCCCAGTGGGTCACCGACCCGGTTTTGGCCCCGGATATTGGCTTTTCGTCCTTTCACCGTGGTGGGAAAACACCGCCACGAGAAGGCAGTGAATAGGAGGTTTTCAGGAGAAGCTGTTTGAGAAGATTGGTCGTATAGGAGCATTTGGTGTTAGGAAGCTCCGCTGTCTTCCGGTTCTATACCACGCTTAACCTATTGGGGCCTTATGTGGTTCGTCACTCCAAGTCCCGGGGCTTAGGTTGCCGGTTTCCATGACGGAGCAGCAGGTCTTCGTGACTATGGGGTTCGCCCCGTCTGCTGTTCACCACACAAGTGTAATTAAAAAAAATTCGCGGGGTGTGACTGCCCGCAGTCCGAGACACCCACCGCGACCACACTGAGGCTTTCAGAGGCAGCTAACATTACTTTCCAGCTCCATTCGCTTGTTGCTGAACACGTTTCAGCTTTTACTAACCATAACCCGTTTGTGAGGTGGATATATATGTCGCCCTAATTTTTCTATCAATCAGGTGCCGAATTTACGCCATGCCATGATGCATCTAGATTGTTACACAGGATACATTCTATCGACTTTCAACACTGTATAACTTTTTATGATTAAGCGAATTCTTTTCTTGATGGTCAAGACTTCTGTCTATACATTTTACTCGCATCAGCCTAGAACGAGAATATACCAACCAATCATCAGAGGATAGAACACTACGAGGTCACTGTCCACGGTTAGCCCAATGAAAATCCCGTCAGTTTTAGGAAAATTATGAGTTGCAGGCCACGGTGCTGTACATTTTTATCACAGTTTCATGCAGAATGGACCAAGTCAATTAGTAATGTTTCCACATGATTGCACATGTCCATAATTTCATCAAAAGTTTCTTCTTGTTCATTGCATCCAGTTTTGTGCTTTTGCAACCGTGTCAACAATTCGACTCGAGCGTCATTTACATGTAGTGCGTCCGAGTGGAAAATGTCAACACGAGTACCGGGATCGGCAAACATTGATTCGGGAACCAAATAGGACAGAACACGTTGGAACGACCCCAGACTACTTGGTATCGATGGTCCAGGCGGCGCTTTTTCAGACTCCTCACAGAGAATAAGCAACCAGCCTGGAATGAAGAAAATAATAGTAGGTGAATTTACATTGGAATGCATCTTGTGAACTTCAGTAGTGGTTTAAGGACAACAAAAAACAAATGAACCGTACGAGCATTAATCACTGGGGAAACGGGGATCATACATTATAAAATGACGTATAGAACACTAACTGAGTGATGAGGGATTTGTTGTAAGTGAACTTCGTAGATGCCGTTCTAATCTGTAACACAATAATGATGCGCACCTCAAACTGAGGATGTTCAAAAGAGGAGAATAAGTGAACAGAACTACCACGGATATTTTTTAGGTGTAAAGCGCAGCATTTGTATGGAATCTTCGCGCAGGATTTTAGCAATAGGTTTTTCAAACTGGAAATCGGTTCTGACGGTTGAGTGACGCACATATCCCGCAGCCTTCAGAAGACGAAATGGCTTTGAAATGAGGTACAAATATGGGCAAAGTATGATTAAGATAAAAGAGGCGCAAACCTCGAAATCGCAACGTCATTTGGAGAGTGCATGCATTGTACAATCAAATGACAGTGCATCCTCGATGGCAAATGTTTGAATCTCAGCAGAATACCACAACCAATACAGCGTTCTATGTCAAAAGGAGCCTACAATGGGTTTCAAAGCGTTCGGCTGAACGCTATGCAATCAAGGTAAATAATCAGAACGAAGTGGGTGTCAAACACGCGAGCATAAGGATCCAACGGCTAACTAACCAATCAAATGTGCGGCATTAAGGTCACCGGTGGTGTGAGGAAGAGAGACAACCGTGATTGTCTGTCGAGTGGTGGATGCGTGATGGGTCACAAGTAACGTAAGCGTGAAGAACAGTGGGTGATCAACTTAGTGGCCAAAGTGATACGGGTCATTAGTTAATGGGAACAGCTTAATCAAGATTCGACCGCTAAAAGGGGCGACGATACGAATCAATGCAAGGTGGCTTTAGAAATGCACACGTAGGTTTGGTAACAAACTGGGTTTGAAGAAGGCGAGTTTGGTAAAAGAGCGAAGCAAATTGAACACCAAGTGATCAACCTAACAGCATTTTTACATACCTTAGAGTGATGAGCAATGCAGGAGGTAGCGTAATAACCAAGGGGGAGGCAGAAGGCCCGTTGAAGGCCTCAACGTGATTGATTTAGTAATTAGCCCGGTGCCAGTGAAGGTGTATGCCACTGAAACCGGGCAGGGTTGTAAAATCGATCGAGTATACCATTGGGTGTGACTTGAAACACTCGATTGCTTACCCTGAGATTTTAATCGTTTGGTACATAGATCCGACAACACGGCCAGCGAATCTGGAGTGAAACAATGGTAGTACGCTATGGCATTTGTGGCAATCGGATCATACAACACTAGATCCAGCTTTTCGTCACCTGAAATAGTAATAAAAAACTGCCACATAAGTAAGCTACTTTGAAACAGAAGGGACCAAAGGTTTGTCAATCTCGAGCAAGGAACATTGGTACTACCATTTAAATATTCAGGCAAATTATTTACATCGAAGATATTTCGCGTCACCCAGATTCCTATTGAGAAGTAAATGTAATCTATCTATTTTGGCGTCCACTGATCGTCTCTGCTTTGAACCGTCACAAAAG